TAACAAAATGAAATCAGTGCACCTTGAAAAACAACAGAATAACAGCGATTTTAGTGAACAAGAGAAGACAACCATAAGGTCTGACTGCCTGCGGGGTCTGGCAAAATAAAGCCATAGTTTTCTGCTTGCAGAGAGCCTATAAACAGACGCGCAAGTAGGGAAGATATTGCTAAATTCTTTTCCTAGCAAGGAATATTGATAATTAATACTCTGGGAAAAGAATTGCATTCCTGGGGGGAGGTCTATAAACAGCCGCTCTGGGAGTGTCTGCCTTATGCGATTGAGATAAGGACTGAAATACGCCCTGGTCTTCTGCAGTACCCTCAGGCTTACTAGGGTGGGGAAAAACCCCACCCTGGTGAATTTGAGGTCAGACCAGTTCTCTGCTCTTGAACCCTGTTTTCTGTTGTTTAAGATGTTTATAAAGACAATACATGCACAGCTGAACATAGAACTTTATCAGTAGTTCTGTTTTGCCTTTTTTCCTGTTTACTCAGAAACATGTGATCTTTGTTTTCCCTTTTGCCCTTTGAAGTATGTGATCTTTGCAACCTACTCACTGTTCTTGCACACCCTCCCCTTTTGAAATCCTCAATAAAACTTGCAGGTTTTAAGGCTCGGGTGGGTGTCATGATCCTACCAATATATGATGTCACCCCCAGAGGCCCAGCTGTAAAATTCCTCTCTTTGTACTTTTCCTCTTTATTTCTCAGCCGGCCGACACTTATGGAAAATAGAAAGAACCTACGTTGAAATATTGGGGGCCAGTCCCCCTGATACCAGCTAATCAAAGTATTGCCAGATATCAGTTATGCTGATTTAGTTGCTTGCACTTGACCTGTCCCTTTTCCATGACATTGGCGACTTTCTTGGCTTGGCTTTTTTCAGTCAGAAAAGCATATTTGTTTTTGAAGGAGACTGTTTGTTTTTAAAGTTTCAAAATGATAATAAGTTAATGATTTGAGCAATGGTTGGAGTGCACAGATGAGGCCTACACAAACTACTTTTTCATATGTAGATTGTATTCATTTTCCTGGATAGGGACAAAAACAGTATTATGTTTCCATGGGTTTGAAGTTCACATGAAAACAGGTACTTCATATTTTTTTTTAACTAACATTATGTAGTCTGAATTATAAAATGTTTATAAATGATTTAATGGATTGAGAGAAACAATATTTGTCATCCATGATTATTTTTGAAAGTGAATTGCTATTAAAATTTAACTAAAACTTCATACAATTTATTGTCTTCTAAACTCTATTTTGATGAAAACACATTTTATAGCTTTCATAAATATATAACTCAAAAATCTAATTTTTCTCAAATATCTTACAAATTCACTACATTTATGATACTGTAAATTAATTTCAAACAGTAAAAGCTAGATTAACCATAGCCTGAAAATTTATCAATTTTCATTTCATAAACTCATAGATTTTTAATAATGTCAACATAAAAGATGGTTTTACATGCTATTAAGAAGAGTCACAAATGTTAAGAAGTTTACAGTCACTTTCAATATAAATTTTATAAAACAGTATATCTATTTGATACAAGAACAGATAAAAATTAGACAAATGTCCAGTAGTGGGTAAGTGGATTGTGGTGTTCATACAATAGAATACTATTTAGTAATACAATTCAATGAATTGTGGCTTCATTCATCTGGATGGATGAATTTGGAAGCCTCTGAGCAAAAGAAATAGGTCATGGGATAACACATAAAGTATGATTCCATTTATATAAAATTCAAAGAGTCAAAACTAAACAATGTACAACTATGAGAAAGGGAATGAAAAACAGAAAATGTATGATGTCATTACGGCTGGGGGAAGAAAGTGAATGTAATCAAAGAAGAGTCAAAGGTGAGTCATGTTCTATTGAGTGAGGTGGTGAATACTTACGTATTTAATGCTTATCCTTAAACTGTACATATATTTTACACTCTGGAGAAAAAGAGAGGCAGGAAAGTGGAGACCATATATGTAGATAACTCTGTGAAGAACTTTATCTTGATTGGAGAATAAAGAAGTACAGATTGGAAAAAGGCTGATGTTCACAGAGATCTTCTTCTTATGCTAAAGTACAAAAAGACTCTAAATGCCATAGAAAGTAAGGTTACACAGGAGGGGAGAAGTTGAAGAAACAAGAGGAAGGTACCTGATGACACACGCCATTTAAGTAGGTTGAAGGGAATAGGATCCAAGGCACATCTAAAGAGACTCGTCTTTAAAAAGAGAAGGAATGCCACCCAATTCAATCAAAGGGGAGGGGAAAAGGACAGAAATGTGCAGCAAACATATACACTTGATTATGGGGAGCCTGAGGTATGTTATGTATGGTCACTTGTTCCTCTAGAATGAAGCAAAGTTATTAGCTGAGAGTGAAAGGCCAGAGTTGGTTTTCAGAAAAAGACATGAAATAACTGTTTTGGCCAGTAAGAGAATGTGCTGTCCACAAACAAATACACGTGAACTCTTGGGCATTTCATCTTCCCTGTTTCTCCTGCCTCTGCTAGAATGCTTTCCCCATTCCTTTTCATTTAGAAAATCTTCCCATCCTTCTAGACTCATCTTAGATTCTATGTCCTTTGTGAAACCTTTTTTAATTATCCCATAGTAATCCTTTCCTCTTCAATCTTACAGCACTTAGCTGTATCATTCATTTTTCATTTGACACACCATCTTGCAGTAACTTTTTTGCTTGTACATGATTCAATTTTTGCGTTGTTTTGTTAACTACAGTTACTGAAGGCAGAAATCATGTCTTCATTTTTTTGAGGCTGAGTCTTGCTCTCTTGCCTAGGTTGGAGTGCATGGTGTGATCTAGGCTCACTGCAACCTCTGCCTCGTGGGTTCAAGCGATTTTTGTGTCCCAGCCTCCTGAGTAGCTGGGACTACAGGTGTGCACCACCATGTCCAGCTAATTTTTTGTATTTTTCATAGAGATGGGGTTACACCATGCTGATCTTGAATTCCTGGCCTCAGGTGATCCGCCCTCCTAGACCTCCCAAAGTGCTGGGATTACAGGCATGAGCCACTGTACCCAGCCAGAAATCATGTCTTTTTAAAACACTGTTCCTCTTACTCTCAGAAAAATAATTTTTTTTTTTTTTTTTTGAGATGGAGTTTTGCTCTTGTTGCCCAGGCTGGAGTGCAATGGCGTGATCTCTGCTCAATGGCAACCTGCATCTCCCAGGTTCAAGTGATTCTCCAGCCTCAGCCTCCTGAGTAGCTGGGACTACAGGCATGCACCGCCATGCCTGGCTAATTTTGCATTTTTAGTAGAGACAGAGTTTCTCCATGTTGGTCAGGCTGGTCTTGAACTCCTGACTTCAGGTGATCTGCCTGCCTCGGCCTCCCAAAGTGCTGAGATTACAAGAGTGAGCCACCACACACAGCAAAATAATGCATTCTTATGTATGGTGAATATTTAGATGCAGTTTCTAAATATATCATCTACTGAAATATCCTTAAAAGTAAATGATAAAATAATAAAGATACACATGAATAAACGGAACTTTGAATCTTCCATTTTTTTTCCTGTAACTGCTCCTGATTTTCAATTTTTGGTTTTAGAACCTCCTTTTTAGAAGCTAAGCCAGAGATCTGGTGCTAATATACAATTGGTTTAATTTTTTAAAAAAATTTAAAACAAATTTCTCTTGTTTATTAAACTATTAAAATGTTTTCTTCATTACAACTTTCAATATATTTCTCCTTGGAGATTGTTCTCCCAGAATATGAAACTGAATGTTATCAAAGACAAATTATGTTAGGAATGCCATCTTGTGGTTGACAGTAGTCCATTACACTAATTGGTCTTGACAATCTTTAATTCAGAAAGAAAACATACAGTAAATTCACAAACATAAATCATGGTTAAAAGGTACTACGACAAAGGAATACAAATTAAATACATGTATCAGTTGTGTGCAGTTTCAGCTGCCAGAAAAATAAAATGTTCACTGAAGAAACAACAAATTACATAAGAATTGACTCCAAATAATATAGTGAAACTGCTGTCTACAAATACCCTCCTATTGAGACTACTCAAGTACTCTTAATTTTGGAAAACTTTCCTCTTGAAATAGATCACTTCTTTCTGTATTCACTTATTATTTCTGTATTCACTTTATTTCTGTATTCACTTCTAAATAGTTCTGCTGTTTCATCCTGGACTTCAGTTATGTCTTGATTTTCAAACATCACCACCCTAACCATAAACATCCAAAAGACAGCGAAGGACAGAGTACATATTTAATTTGGACAGTGTGAGAAACACATTAGTTGTAGTACAAAATGGAATTTGAGGAGGGTTAAAAACACTGGCCATAGTCAGGTACAGAGGCTCACCCCAGTAATCCTAGCACTTTGGGAGGCCGAGGTGGGTGGATCACCTGAGGTCAGGCATTCAAGACCAGCCTGGAAAACTTGGCGAAACCCCATCTCTACGAAAAACAAAAAAATTATTCATGCGTGGTGGTGCATGCCTGTAATCCCAGCTACTTGGGAGGCTGAGGCAGGAGAAACACTTGAACCTGAGAGGTGGAGGTTGCAGTGAGCTGAAACTGTGCCAAACAAAAACAAAACAAAACAAAACACTGGCCTTAATCCTACTAGAAGAGTTTACTACTTCCTCCATTCAAGTTAGCCATTTTCAGTGGTAAATTAACTTTCTAATCAACAGAGAACTATTCACTAATTACAGATGTAGTACCTGAAAACTGGGCTTAAATATTTTAATTGCCAAATAGTATAGCAGACGTTTTGGCCCATGTAACAGTGAGAGTGTGCGAGTGGAAACTGATACACCCCACGTGAGCACAAGGCAAAGCATGACAGTTCAAAGGTCCGTGCACTGTGTTACCTTTTGTCACTTCTAGATTAAAGATCTGAGGAGGTGCCATGAGGTCTAATGTCAGCCCTAGAGATCAGACTATTGAAATTCCAAACAGATATAGAGATATTTACATAAAAGAAAAAATGCTACTGTACTCCAAATCAGTGTTTGAGATTTATTATTGCATGCTTATAGCCAGAAAAAAAAATTTACTCTGAAAGCTTTCATATGAATTGATTTTGGATAAGTTTTTCCACATGACTCTTCAAGACATTCACATCAGCTGCACAGACCTGGTACTCCATCTTCTCTTGTTGTTTTGTTCTCTCTAATAAAGCCTCATGCAGTGGAGGTAATGCATTGTATGAACCCAGTAAATACAGCTGACTTGATGAAGTCTCATTGATTTCTTTAATCTTTAAAGCCTGCATGATAGCAGGTGCAAACTTTGAGTAATGGGCTGTAGATGAGACAATCACAGGGCAAGTTTTGTCTTGCACCCTATCTGCAACCACTTTTGCAACAGCAGTGTGTGGATCCAAAATATACCCTGAAGTATTATAGGTGGAGTTAATAGCTGCTAGGCACTCTCCCTCAGAGCACCAGTCAGCTACAAAATCCTGCTGAAGTTTCTCAACTAGAACCTTTTCTATCTGGAAGTGATGCTGACTTTCTAATTGATTAAATAATTCTGTCATTAGTTGTCCATCTTTATTAGCCATCAAGTGTAAATGTCGTTCTAGGTTTGAAGATTTGAGAATATCTATCGACGGTGAAAAAGTCTGTGCTAATTTTCTTTCCCTTAGATCATAATGTCCTGTTTTTATAAAATCAGTCAAAACACGGTTCTGATTAGAGGCACAGATAAATTTTCGAATTGGGATTCCCATCATTTTGGCATACACTGCTGCTAATATGTTACCAAAGTTTCCTGTGGGAATACAGACATCGACTGGGCTTCCAAAAGAAATAAATCCTTGACTAACAAGATCGAGATATGCGGAAGCATGATAAACTACCTGCGGAAGTAGTCGGCCCCAGTTTATGGAATTAGCCGAACTTAAAATTGTTCCATATTCCACAGTAAGAAAGCCAGTAAAATCAGAATCGTTAAAAATTCTTTTTATAGCTGTCTGGCAAAAATCAAAATCTGACTCAACACCCACTGCCCATCCATTTTCTCTCTGACTGCCAATTATTTGTGCTTTTTGAAAATCACTTACTCCATTCTCAGGAAAAAATGTGACCACAGCTATCCTTTGCTTATCATTCTTATTAAGACGACTAAAACCATTTAAGACTGCACTCCCTGTGTCTCCTGAAGTAGCTACAAGTATCATATAATTGCAACTTGGTGGGATACAGTGTGCAAAAATATGAGGCATAAGCTGTAAAGACAAATCTTTAAATGATCCTGTTGGTCCATGAAATAACTCCAGGATGAACTGGTTGCCTGAAAGGTGCCTGACAGGAGCAATTTTTGAGCAGGCAAAGTTTTCCCCATAAGCAGTTTCAATCATTTCTCCCAACCTGGCAGCAGGTATGTCTGCAGGATGGATACATCTTTCCAACAGTATCTGTGCTCTTTCTATGTACGTTGCTCCTACTAGGCTTTTCCACTCCCCACAGCTTAATTTTGGAAACTCCTTCGCAGGAACAAAGAGTCCACCATCAGAAGCCAACCCCTCAATTACAGCTTCACTAAAAAATTTTGCTGAAACCTTCTGTTCACAGTCTTTAGGCCAAACGTGTCTTGTTGAAATGAATGTTTCCGAGTCCACATCTTGGTATCTTTTAATTGCATTCAGCACTTTGTCAGCTACCTCCTCTGGGGAAGCCCCACTTTCACAGAAAACACGAGCATCATACCACTTCTTATAATACTGTCTTCTAAATTTAAGTAAGTCTTTCATAGATGTTCCAGAATTCCGACCTACAATCCTATCTATCTTCATTAATTTCAGACGATGAATTAGATCTAGTAGAGGTACATCCAGGTATACAATTACTCCATTTTTCTTCAGATGCCACATGCTAGCATCATGCATTGGATTGGACCCAGTAAGGGAAATCACACTTCCAGATGCAGAGAAGTTTAACACAGCTTTTCCTTCCTCTTCTAAAAATTGCTCATTACCAACATCCTGTAATTTTTCAGACACACTCATATTCCAGGTTTTTTCAAGGATATCATCATCTACATCTATGACACAACAACCTAGTTTCTGACCTATTATTCTGCCTACTGTTGTTTTCCCAGCACCAGGAGGTCCCATCAGGATAATATTTTTGTCTCCAACAAGAGAGTGGGTGGAATACCATGACTTCCTTAATTCCGCAAGTGCAAAGGTTCTTGAAAGAAATCGCTGTGCGTGTTTATCCATTTTAACATGTATACTAGAAAAACATTTCTGTGTTATCTTTTTCAGACGCTGACATCGGTTAAAGTGGAACATTCTCTTTTCACTTTTCTGCCCACACCAACCTAAAAATGGGCTTTAGCCCTTTTCAAAACACAAAACAAACAAACAAACAAACAACAAAAGATAATTTGGTTACTAATTTCAGTAGATTGTTAAAATCTCAACAGGATTGAATATAACCATGCCCATGGTACATAAACTGTTTAAAAATCTGCCAAACTTATGGAATTTTAAAAAAAGTATTCCAACCCAAATTCTTATATATTGCATATTATCCTTCTTAATGATATCTTTTAAAATCTCAAGACACTAAAAAATCAAAACTTTGACAAAATTTGTAACTATAAACAACAGAAACTTGTATTCACGAAGTGCCAGATTGTAGATGCTTTTAGAAGTGTATATATACTAAATCAAATTACTATTTCTTTTCGTATTGAGATCTTTTAATGGAAATTATTTCATGGTTTATCGGTTTATATCATATATAAAGATGATTTGGAGTTGGAGTGCTATCTACTTGTAATTCACAAAAGTTGAATAATATTCTTTATATTTAATTTCTCTTCAGTTATATGAACATCGTGATAGACTATATTACTCATAAATTTCTTACAGAATTCATAACAGGAAACTAGAATAAAAGAACATATTTGCTTATAAAATGCTTAGTTTTCCAAACTAGAGAACAAAGGTATGATATTTTCTTTCTTATGTGCCTTTTACACGCATATTAAGAATCATTGTGACATATCATTCATACTGAAGGCTTTAAAAAGAGCCAAAGTGAAAGGTATACTATTATACAAATAGTTAAGAAAAATTAATAATCAGCAATAAGGTCAAAGGCTACATATAACCTTATCTGCAAGGAACCATCGTTTTTGTTTCTAATCCTATAATCTTCAGTGGAGAGATTTAACTCAATTTCCAGGCCCAGGGCGATAGCCAAGAACCTCAGGAATGTTTCCAATGATGAGAGAAAACAATTATTCTGGCATCCAAAGAAGCTCTATAATTTCCCATATTGACCAAGTCCTTGTCTTTGGAAATATACTCACCATTAAAACAAAAATGTATGCCAGAGAAGTCAAGTCTTTGGCTTATGTAAAATGCAATATAATACCTCTGCAGTGTTCATGTAAACTGCCTGGAGTAATGTCACAGACACATAGTGGGGCTTATCACGTGTTCTCTGGTAGAACCAATATGCAACTAAAACATATTAAATACTAGATCATATGTTTAAGTATGTGCTGAAAACTTTTAATCATGTAATACTGACTTTCTATGCTACTTAAACTCTGTTTTGTAATTAAACATTTAAATGATTTTAAGCTAACTCTGAATTTAACTTACAAGTAAAATTAGAGCCGTCAAGGGAAGTAATTCATTTCCTTATTTGACTTTTCAATTTGTATGTGCTGTGCTTAATTTCCACTGACTTGTAAACACAATACACACCAGAACCAATCTGAAGAGTTGGTTGACTCTGAGGCAAAACTGATCTTTGCAAAATGTGGAGTCTATAATGGAAAAAATTTTAAGTAAATTATAACTGTATACAGTATCATAAAATTCTACACATAGACTAGTCTATTATTTGAAAAGCTCATCTGCAATTTTAAAAATACAGAAAAGTTGACCCTTTTCATGCTTCCCCAACTCTATTATTAGATTAAGATACCGTTTTTAAACATGTGTGTCTCATTATAAAAATAATTTCACTAAACAGTACTGAAGGAATTTCTACCATCAAGCAATAAAAAACCAAATAACAACAAATACAAAACCTTTCAGAAGGATACCTGGAATTTTAATGATTTGGCTGTATAATGATCAGAGGGGAAAAAAAATCAGTGGACTACAGCTATGAAATTAGTGTCTGAATTGTTTTTTAGGCTGTATTATCTATCAAAATCACTATATATTCATATGTAATAATATCCACTATAAAAAGCCCAAATAAAACTCTTGCCACAAAAAGCTCTCTCTTAGCTATATAAGTGTCTCTATAATAAAATCAAAGCACATATCATAGTGGTTAGCACAAAATATTTACAGTAAGATTAATCATTGTCACTCACTGACAATGAGCTAGGAATATATAAATTAAATCCAAATACGTAGGTACAAGGCAACGTGCATTTTTTTTTTTTTTATGGCTTGGTTTATAAACCTTCAGAGAATACAGTGGTATTCTTGATTCAACCATGAATCAAGAACTGTTTTGCCACACACAGTTTAATCCTTTCCCTGAAGTAAACCAGGGACCAGAAAGAATTATATACTTGAATCATAACATCAATTTATTTTATTAAACGGTATTCTGGTACTGGACTTTAAAAGCACAAGCTGCTTTTAGGGCACTTATATAAAACAGTTTGATTAACCTCCTATTCAGGAAGCTTTTGCTTGTAACATCACAGTCTCTTTTTTTTTGAGTTTGCAATACATAACTTTCTGGTATCAGTATCAGTAATAATTGTATATAAGAGAGTAGCTGGTTTTCAAGTGCAGTAATTTTTTTTGTTTGTTTTTGTTTTTGCTTTTGAGAAAGGGTCTTCCACTGTCACCCAGGCTGGAGTGCAGTGGCATGATCTCAGTTCACTGTAGCCTCAACCTCTTGGGCTCAGGTCATCCTCCCACCAGGTGTGCACCACCACACCCAGCTAATTTTTGCAGGTTTTGTAGAGACAGGGTTTCAGCATGTTGCCCAGACTGCTCTTGAACTCCTGAACTCAAACAATCCTCCCACCTTGGCCTCCCAAAATGCTGGGATTACAGGCATGAGCCACCACACCGGCCCAGTAAATCTTTCATCTTTTCTTCTGCTTTATGTTGCTTGCTACCATGCCTAACATCAACTTCATTAAAAGTAGATTGTAAAGCAAACATTATGTTACCTTCACCTTATGTTTTGAAATCTTACTTTTCCTATATATTAGTTCCCCTCTACCCTCTCGTTTTTAAATTTTACTTCACTTCCCTTTTTCAAGACTTTGGGGTAGACATATATATTTTTTAAAAATTATGACAGTTCAATTTGTAAATTCTGTATCAATATTTCCCAAAAACATGTTCCTTAGACTAGAAGGCAGTTAAGTACTATATTATTTCTAAAGAACAATAAAGATATATTCTATTTTAAGATACATACTACATTTTATTTTGTAACATTTAACCACAAATTGATTTTAGGGGCTCAACATTTTTTAACAAACCAAATGAGGAAAAGACATCCTCATTTTCTTTTTGAGAATGCCTGCTGCAATGGCCAGTCAGGAACATACATAGAAGGCATATATATGGACTTCACCAAAGCATTATCCATGGTTCGCTAAATATTTGTTCAATTCACGGAGAAATGGAAAAAAGGATTTGAGGATATTGTTGAATGATCATAAAAAATGGTTCTGTTGAATAGAGGGAAATTTCTGGTAGTGCACTCCAAGGCTTTCGGTCTTGCTACTCTTCTCTTTAATGTGTTTAATAATTATTTGGATTAAGCATTGAGAGAGATATTGGATAATTAGTGGTTAACAGGACGGGCTTCAGAGAAAAATCTGCAGATGTGCAAGTCCTTTATATAAAATGGTGTAGTATTTGCATACAACCTGTGTACATCCTCCTGTATACCTCAAATTATCTCTGAATAACTTATAATAAGTAACACAATGCAAATGCTACGTACAGAGCTGGTATACTAATTTGCTTTTTTATTTGTGGTATTTTTACTGTTCCATTATTTTCGTGTTTTTGTTTTTCAGACAGGTTCCCACTCTGTTGCCCAGGCTGGAGTGCAGTGGCACAATCTTGGCTCACTACAGCCTTGACCTCCTAGGCTCAAGCAATCGTCCCATCGCAGCCTCACAAGTAGCTGGGACTACAGGCACGCACCAATACACCCAGCTAATTTTAGTACTTTTTGTAGAGAGGAGTTTCGCCATGTTGCCCAGGCTGGTTTCCAATTCCTGGGCTCAAGCAATCTTCCTGCCTTGGCCTTTGAAAAGTGCTAGGATTGCAGATATAAGCCACTGTGCCCAACCAAAATATTAAAATATTTTCAATCTGTAGTTAGTTGAATCTAAGAATGGGAAATTCACAGATATGGAGATCCAACTGTGTATCGGGACACAAACTAGCCAAAAGGAGGTTAAGCTCTACTGCTTCTGACTTCTAATCAAAAATTCTCTCAAACCCTTCTTTCAGAGGGCCTCCCACTTGCCATGAAATAGAGGTGAGGGTGGAAGGACCACACAATCTAGTATGGTTCTGTAATCACAAGGATCTTACAACCAAAACAATTAACTTTGCAAGTTCATCACTTAAGTCTTTATATTACTATCAAAGCTAAGCCTTTTCTGCCGTTAGACTTCTGCTGTTAGACACGTTCTTAATGATCTCAAATATTTAACTGAAAAATCTTAAGTATCCACAATTCTGTAACTTTGAGAATTATAAAGACCCTGTCTTTATAAAGGGTTTATTTACCTTCCAATTGTCTTATATCCTCATCTACACCCATTTTATTCATTTAAATAGATAAAAATAAGCCTTCGCAAAAAAACCCCTCATGGGTTTGTGTACACGACAGGCACACCAATATATGGGGATCTAGAATCTGTGCAAACTAGAATCCACAGGCTAAATCTGGCCCACTATCGTTTTTATAAATCAAGTTTCACTGAAGCACAACTTCAACCATTCATGTGCTCATACATTTGTTCATTGGTTCAGTATTGTCTTTGGCTGCTTTTGAGCTACAGTGGCAAAAGTGAGTAGTTGCAACATAACCACTTGGCCTGCAAAGGCCTGAAATATTTACTGTCTATCCCGTTACAGATAGTTTGTTCATCCCTATGGGTATATAACAGTTAATCGCCCGTGGACATGAGGTGGACACAGGCATTTTTTTTGAACTGTCACTTCAAGAGAATTATAAAAACTAGAAATAATTTTGCTTAAACACACTTTCGAAAGGCAAGCAGAATTGCAGATCAAATGTCTAAGAAAAAAGAAAAGTTCTTTTCCAAATGATTTAACAACCTGCTCATGACTGTACACTAACCATACTACAGTGAGGTCTAGCACAAATTGTTTAGCATTTTTTAAAGCATAATAAATATACAGACATCAGGGAAATTATTTTATTTCAATAACCCCAGAACATCAAGGCTACCTAAGGCCAGTTGGTGCTAACTGCAGAAATCATGTTTTGCCCTTACTTGCTATTTCAGGAACTGATTAACACAAATAGTCTCAAGGTGTTCCTTCTAATTAGAAAATTTATAAACTTTAGTCGATGACTATCCACTTGGCTAATGGTGTTATTATTCTATGAGTCCTTGGTTTGAATCTTCGTAAATACAGGAAGTTTCCCGCCAAAATTTTTCTCTATACTTGCTAAAACAGAAACCCCAAACATAAAATACTCAAGGGCGAAAAGGACAAAGTGATATAGATTTAGATCCAGATCTAAATATACATCTATAGATCTATCTATCTAAAATGTTTTGGAAGACAATCTGATGTGAAGAAATCTAGAGAATTTTCCCTAAGCGTCTGGGATAAAAATTAAAACCAACTGTATACAAAAAAAAAAAAACCTTACTGTATTCTTATCTAGTGCAATTCAGTAAGCCCAAAATAAGGATCTCCACATTCAGTAAAGCCTTTTTATACAAACTAAAAGGTTCACCGGGCCATTGTGTTGTTTCAATGTCTCCACCAGGCAACCAGGCAGTGAGAAACCCAAACTCCTGTGTTTTCTCTCCTCTCCGGGAAGCTTTATTTCCTTCGGGCAGAGTAGCCTCTGTACGGGTGGCTCAGAGCCATCCATCTTCCTCCCCAAATCCTATTACCAAAATGTCTTTTAAACACTCAGGTAAAAGCGTCTACATGACTTTCCTACGGCAGCCCTATGTGCGTAGATTTACGGGTGACTAGGTGGAGCAAAAAGGAATAAAACCGCTTCTCAGAAGACAATTTTCAACATGGGACGCCAAAAACTGGACAAAAACGTAAAGGCCCACTTAAAAGGCTCTCCTCTCAGTTTAGGATGCTCATTTACAAAGAGCAGGTCCACTGGTTCCTGGAGAAGGACCTAGAGGAAGGGTCCCGACCGGGGCGGGGGGGGGGCGGGGAAGGGGGAAGAGCAGGCGCAGAGCAGACCCCGAGGGCCGCCCAAGAGGCTGTAGCGGGCGCGGGCGTGGCAGGGCAAGCGCAGCAGGCGGAGGAGGCCGCGGGCCCCGGGCGCGCACTCACACAGGTGGCGGGCAAGGCTGCGCGGGTTTCCCAGGGGCCTCGACCAGAATTGGCAGGAAAAATGCGCGCAGAGTTAAGATGACCAGCGAATAGCGGAAAGGGGAAGGGACGGTACAGGGAAAGGCATGCGATGGGAGCGGGGTGGCTTCTAGTTTTCCTTTCTCTCTCCTCCAGTAACTCACCAAGGAAATCTCACTGAGAAGACGGGGAAAATGAAAGGAAATAGGGAAGCAGTTTCCACGAACCGCTAAAGCCGATACAGGAGACGGAGCACCGTACCTCCGGCTAGTTCCCCGGTCCCGCCCCCGCGCAGTGGACTCTGCCTATGCCTGCGGCGGCCAGCGTACCTCCGCTCCACGCCCACGCCGGAGCAGCGCAGGGCACGTGACCTCCTGTCTCACTGCAGCCTATCCAAGCACTCCGAGCTCCTCGGGCTCCTCCCCTTCCTCGTCCCGCTGGCGGCCTTGGCCGTGCGTCCGCGTGGTCTCAGCCGATCGCTGCGCCCACACCGGGATTGGGGCCTGCTCCAAAAACGTTATTGTGTCACGCCTGCGCACCAGCTGCGCTTTTCTGTGTCTGCAGTAGGATTTTTCTTTTTCCCCAGATACACGGAGATAGAAAAGAGCACAGTTTTTAAGGGGACACCATTTTCACCCCGTTAACTTTCAAAGGCACGTAAAAACAGTGGCTTCCAAATGAGCTTCTCCAGTAGAAGGCGATACAGAAAAAGGGGAGACCTGGTTTGCTGTGCCGCCGTCTACTTCCTCGTTGCGTAGTAACGGTTTCCACGGCAACCGCACAGTCAACGACGCTTAGCAATCCCGGGAGACATAGGGTGTTTTCTTCCTGAGAGAGGACTGCTAAGAGGGGGTCAAAGGGGGGACGATGTGAAGGAGAGAAACTGTGGTCCTTGAGAAGGCGAAGAAAGAAAGGGGAAGCAGTGAAGAAGGACAGAGATACTGGGACAGGGAGAAAAAAGCTGAGAATAGCTTTTAAGGAGTCATTTGGTGACCATGGATCCAACGTGCCCTTCTGAGTGCATTTATAACCTCATACCCAGTGACTTGAAGGAGCCTCCCCAGCCTCCTAGGTATGTGGATAAGCAAAGACCATCACTTGAAACAAGAATGGGGAATAGTCAGTATTAATTAAACATACATATACTGGAATTTTTAATAATAAAATGTATTTATGCCTCGATGAAGTAGCCTTGGAGGATAACTTGTTAGAGAAAAGGTCGAAATATCTAGATATTTAGCATCTAACAGTTTTACAGAGAGGCCAGTCCGGCGCTGTGAGATGACCATTTGATTATATTACACTTAACCTCTTATTAATACTGCATATGATTATTGTGTAATTTAATTATATGTGATATGTATACAACATAGCACGAAGTTTCATGTTGTTGAAAAGAGAAAAATAACAATTCTGTTATCTTGTTTAAGTATACTTGATGTTTGGTTTCAGGAGTTCGGTGTTGTATTTCTAACTGCACTACTTCTCCCTCTCTAATGGGATAGTACTTATCTTTTCCCCCAAGATTTTTATGAAATATAAATTTACATTTGCCCTTGAACCTCAGGTTTTTGATCAGTGAAACGAAATATCTACTACTATTAGGCAGTTTCTAAGGACTTTTTCAGATCTAATGGTTTAATTGAAGGAAGACTTGGTGGATAATGAACCAAAAAATATGTAATTGAGTTGAAATTTTACATAGGTCTTAGAACCTCTTATATTCTCCAAATCTCAAAAACGTGCAAAGGAAGAACTTCAGTTACTCCCATCTGTAGGGACTTCTTAGAACTTACTTAAATCTGTGGGGAGCAAAGAAAGTAGTGGAGAAAATTTCAGCTCTCCTAGGACTTGAAATGTTTCCTGTCTTTTACCATCACGCTTGTTGGTATACCATCACCTTGTCGGACTGAAAATCAGGCCTAGCGATTGTCTTTGTGATCTTGGATAAAGTTTCATTGGTTTACTGATCTGTGAGATAAATGTACTAGATAATATCCAAGGCCCCTTTTAGATCTAATGGTCAATTATTTTTACCAGTATTAGGGTAATAGCTCAACAAGTAGGCAGCTTGTTCAACTTTAAATATTTGGTTTAAACCAGAGCAGTAACTATATTTATTACTTTTCCATCAGCATATCAAAATCTAGAGATTGGAAAGAGGAATATAAAGTAAGTTATCGCACGGTTGCAGAATTTATGAGTAGAGTTCAAATTGTCTATTGTTGAACCAACTTTTGGTTTCAAATTTCTGCATATTACACGAGATAAAACTCCTCCTCTCTGTAACACATTGGTAGATTGTATTTCTATAGAATATTGAATTTGAGTGTTATTTTGTTAAGTAGGTACTCTGTTCTTTGGCAAATTGAAAAGTTTTACTGCATCTAGATGATTTTTTTTTTTCTGAAAACATTTATAGGAACAGTCTTTATTCATTTGGCAAGCATTAATGGAGCCCCAATTATGTGTATAATATTGCACTAGTATATCTGTTCTTGGTGCTGTTGAAGTGATAGCACAGACTTCTTGGTTTTACTATGAAGAAATGAGTAGAAGAAAGATTTGTGATGAGAGGAAATAGAGGCACCCAAATGTAATGCCACAAGAATCATTTCTGTTAGGTTAAAGTCAATTTACACTGTCAAGATTCTGACAACTGCCTGCCTTTTGATCTCCCACGCCTCAGAGTTTACAGTCTTTTTGGGGAACTGAAATATGAACACTAAAATTTATCATTGAAAACCCTAACGAGAGATGAAGATACTAACTGAGAACTTAGAAGATGAATGTATGTGACCAAAATCGGATGAAGGGCACTTTTCTGCAGTTGAACTATTGGCTGAGACTTAAGTTATGAAAGTCTCAAAGTCAATGGGAAGTCATGATTCAGTTTTCAAAATCTGAGTTACTCATGATGCATAAGATGGTTTCTAAGATTTTCACCAAATCTGTCACCCTTTTTTTTTTTTTTAATTAATTTTCTTTGAGACAGAGTTTCACTCTTTTTGCCCAGGCTGGAGTGCAGTAGTGCCATCTCGGCTCACTGCAACCTCTGCCTCCTGGATTCAAGCGATTCTTCTGCCTCAGCCTCCCAAGTAGCTGGGATTACAGGCCCCTGCTACCATGCCCGGCTAATTTTGTACGTTTAGTAGAGACGGGGTTTCACCATGTTGGCCAGGCTAGTCTTGAACTCCTGACCTCCAGTAATCAACCCACCTCTGCCTCCCAAAGTGCTATGATTATAGGCATGAGCCACTATGCCTGGCCTATCACCCTTTATTGATGTCTGCAGTTATTGAATATCTCCAGTCATTCCCTCTTTCCATTTTGTTTAAAGCAATATTCTAGTTATGGTCTGAACATTCCATGAAACCATTATCTCTTTTCCATAATTCTTGGCACAATGTTTTCATCCATTCAGCCTAAGCTTCCATAAGCATTTTGACAGTCGTGTCCAACTGTTGGCTCACATTGAAATAACCTGTATGGAGTTTGACTAAGGTTGGTCTCTCCCATCCTCTAATTATGTAGCTGATTCCTTTTTATCTCAACTCATTAATCTATGAAGATCATTTTGAATTTGAATCTTTTATACATTCTGTTAACCATTCTTCCCAGCTTTGTGTCATTTGCAAATTTAATAAGTATGTCTTTTATATCTCTTATCTATCATTGAACATGGTATATTCGTCTGTTCTCACACTGCTAATAAAGACATACTCAAGACTGGGTAATTTATATTTAAAAAGAGGTTTAATTGACTCACAGTTCCACATGACTGAGGAGGCCTTACAATCATGGCAGAAGGCAAAGGAGGAGCAAAGTCACATCTTACATGGTGGCAGGCAAGAGAGTATGTGCAGGGGAACTCCTCTTTATAAAACCATCAGATCTCATGAGACTTATTCACTATCATGAGAGCAGCACAGAAAAGACCCACCCCCATGATTCAATTACCTCCTACCAGGTCCCTCCGATGACATGTGGGAATTATGGGATCTCATCAATTCAAGATGAGATTTGCGTGGGGACACAGCCAAACCATATCATTCTACCCCAGCCCCTCCCAAATGTCATGTCCTCACATTTCAAAACCAATCATGCCTTCCCAACAGTCCCCCAAAGTCTTAAATCATTTCAGCATTAACTCATAAGTCCACAGTTCAAAGTCTCATTTGAGACCAGGCAAGTCCCTTCTGCCTATGGGCCTGTAAAATTAAAAGCAAGTTAGGTACTTCCCAGATGCAATGGGGGTCCAGACATTGGGTAAATATAACCATTCAAAATGGCAGAAATTGGCCAAAACAAAGGGGCTATAGGCTCCTTGCAAGTCCAGATTCTAATAGGGCAGTCATTAAACCTTTAAGTTCCAAAATGACTTCCTTTGACTCCATGTGTCACATGCAGGTCACACTGATGCAAGAGATGGGTTCCCATGGTCTTGGGTAGCTCTGCCCCTATGACTTTGCAGGGTACAGACCCCCTGCTGGCTGCTTTCATGGGCTGGCGTTGAGTGTCCGCAGCTCTTCTGGGTACATGGTGCAAGCTCTTGGTGGATTTATCATTCTGAGGTCTGGAGAACAGTGGCCCTCTTCTCACAGCTCCACTAGGTAGTGCCCCCAGTGGGGACTCTATTGGGGGACTTCAACCCCACATTTCCCTTCCACACTGCCCTAGCAGAAGTTCTCCATGAGGGCTCTGCCTCTGAAGCACATCTTTGCCTAGATATCCAGATATTTTGATACATCCTCTGAAATCTAGGTGGAGGTTTCCAAACCTCAATTCTTGACTTCTGTGCACCTGCAGTCCCAACACCACGTGGAAGCCTCCAAGGCTTGGGGCTCGCACCCTCTGAAGCAATGGTGTGAGCTCTACGTTGGCCCCTTTTAGCCATGGTTGGGACTCAGGGCACCAAGTCCCAAGGTTGCACAAAGCAGCAAGGCCCTGGGCCCAGCCCATGAAACCATTTTTCCCTCCTAGGTCTCTGGGTCTGTAATGGGAAGGGCTGCTGTGGAGACCTCTGACATGCTCTGGAGACATTTTCCCCATTGTTTTGGTTATTAACATTTGGCTTCTCCTTATGCAAATTTCTGCAGCTGGCTTGAATTTCTCCTCAGAAAATGGGTTTTTCTTTTCTATTGCATCATCAGGCTGCAAATTTTCTGAACTTTTATGCTCTGCTTCCCTTTAAGCTTAAGTTCCAATTCCATACCATATCCTTGTGAATACATAAAACTGAATGCTTTTAACAGCAATCAAGTCACCTCTTGAATGTTTTGCCACTTA